AAAAAAAAAAACAGCAACCAATTTAAGGAAATTACTGTGAGAAGACCACACAGCCAAGAAATAATTATGTGTCTATATTGGGAGTGATGAGTTGGGAAATCAGTATGTCTACAAGTTGGTTTTTCCCTAAACTAAAAGATTGGTAGGAAAACAATAAAATAGCAAAAATAATTCACATTTAGAGAATTTGTCTCTCAATTGTTCAAAATAAATGCCTGAGCATGGATTACTTTAGAGTTACTTAGCAGTAACTCTTAAACTGTATCTGGATGTGACAGGATGCTTTATGGCTCTCTCATCAACTGAACTCACTAAGGAATTCTAAGCCAGTTTAAGATGAACTCAACAAACAGTTGTTGAAACAACTGTTTCTAATCAAAGACTACTCCTGTCATCTGCTTCACTATGTAAATTGTTCATTAAACGAACAAAAATCTGAGGTCATTGGTGCTGAGGATGCTGTTCTTCTGTCTCCACTTATTTTCACTTACTTTGTCTTTGGGAAGCAAAATTACCCCAGTTGAGAACTGTTCTAAAGTAATTTTCAGAACTGAGGTTTCAAATGTCTGCACCCTCAGTTTACATAGGATTTTTCTCAAATCTCACTCTTCACAGAGGTCTTTCTGACCACTCTATCTAGCAAATCTCTTGTCAACACTTTGTATCTACTCACTTGCTTTATTTTTCTTTCCAGGACTCACTGCTAGATGGCATTATGTCATAGCTGTATCTGTTTACTTTTTGTCTTTCCACTAGAGAGTAAGTTCTACAAGCACATGAATTTTAGTCTGGTTCATCCCTGGGTGCAGCATTGCCTGGCACCTGAAAGTCACTCTATAGGATTTGTGAAATAAGTGAATAAACTGTTGATCTTATTTGAGGGAGCACCTAGAAGCTGTTGCAAATGACATATTACCAAAGCTCGTTTTTCTAAATACCTTACATCACATGGAAATGCATCTGAGGACATAACTGAAGACATAACAAACATATATACTTTGTTACAAAAAAGATTTTAAGGCAGGTGACATTAAATCTAATTTGAATCTCAATTGAAGCCAATGGGTTTTTTGTTTCAAAATTGGAATTTAATAACCCCTGCACTGGAAAAAACCATTGAATGGGTCACAAATGTATCAATTTTTCTTATTGGAGACAACCTGGCACCTAATACATTTGCCAGTCAATAATGATATCAGAAATGAAGCAGTATGAAATTACAGAAGATAATTTTGATAAAAAAATATTTTCTGTATTTGTTGATGATGAACTTTATCAGGCTTTAAAAAAATCCTAAGACATTGACAAGATTGTTTTAAGATAATTGTTTGAGATTAATAAAATTCAGTGAGTGGACATCCTAACCTAATGCATTGAATTTTAATGTAGAACAAGGATCAATATATCAATGTATACCTAGCAGGCAAAAATAAACTGAAGACATTTTTTAAACCCAGTTAGCAGTCAGATTATTTGTAGTGTTGTACTAGAACTTGATATCATTACTACCATTCACCTGAAACAAATCAAGGCTAAGTTTATTAACATAAGACCTTACCTTTCATTCCAGCTCTCTTTGTATTATCAATAGTTAGAAGTATTTCTACTGCATTTTGAGCATTATCAGATAACTTTTCTTCACCTTCAGGCCATGGGATATCTACAAATACAAATAGCTTGTTGATCATTGTTCAAATAATACAGAGAGATAAATGCGTCTACCTTAACAGAAACAGAATCACCTCTTTTCAGAATATTCTGGAATACTTGTTGTGGTGTTTCATCATTGAAAGGAGGAATTCCTGTTAGAAATTCAAACAAGCAAACTCCAAGTGCCCACCAGTCTACTGCAGGACCTGGAATTTAGGAGGGATTAGTTGAACTTGCAAGCATTTTGTACAAATGTTTCATCAACTAAAACATCAATACATGGATATTTGGAAGAAATCAAGGCATTCATTTCCCTAAGGCTTTCTTCTAGCTTCATAAGGTGCAAAAACTCAAATTACTTTCATTTCAGTAACCTGGCAATTACTTTACTTCTCTGTTTTCCAGGAAGTTTAGATTAGCAATTAACACAGCTCATTAAAGAAAAGTTAAAGCTATCTTTTGTCACTTACTAATAACTTCTGATATTCTGAATACTTAACATGTTCTAAATCTAAAGATTACTCTCAAAAATAGAGTACTTGTCAATTTCAAATTGGGGGACAATAACATTTAGATGATTCTGTACTCCACTTACTTCACATGGGGGTGAGATGAAGTAGCAACATTTATACTAATTGGAGGACAGCCTGGTTAACAAGGGAAAGCCTTCGTGTTTTAATGTAACCTTACTCCTTTGAAGAACATAGAGGAACAAATTAGTTTAACAAAAAGTATTCACTTAAACTATGGCTTGCAGTGGTAATTAGGAGATAAGGTTTGATAAATAGGTAAAGCTGATTTCTAAATGAGATCTTTACTGGAAGCATCATTCATATACAAAGATTTATTTTATTTTTTATTTTTTTTAATTTACATCCAAATTAGTTATCATATAGTGCAACAATGATTTCAGGAGTAGATTCTTTAGTGCCCCTTACCCATTTAGCCTATCCCCCCTCCACAACCCCTCCAGCAACCCTCAGTTTGTTCTCCATATTTATGAGTCTCTTCTGTTTTGTCCCCCTCCCTGTTTTTATATTATTTTATATACAAAGATGTTTTAAGTGATTATTATAAATATGACCTTATAATCTGGTTTATACTTTTGTTTAGTCCTCTCTATGAAAAAGTGTTTCCTAAGCAAAGGTTAACTTCAGTCAAGAAATGACCATCTTCAATATAAATTTAAAATAGGAATTCTAATCTAGTACTAAATTTGCTTGGAAATTGCTCTTTAAATCCATTTCTCAAAATTCATTATTATGGTTAAGCAACTGCCACCATCCCATTTTCAAACAAGTAGGAAAGCACTGGGGAATCTGCCATTAGGAAAATAATTACATGCATTTAGAGTGCCTTTGTATTGCAAGCCACATAATCCTGTCTTCCCTAAGGAAAAAGTGATGAGAACCATCTATAGGCTTCCATTTCTATAATAACACTATAAAAACATACAAACCACCTCAGTTAGTAGCTCTTTTAAGCACCGCTGAAGAAGAATTATTCCAACAGATAGACAGTATAACCAAATAACAGAAAAGTAGGGGAGAAGTCAGGGGAAAAAACATATGTTTTCATTATTTTACTTAGGTTAGAAATTAGAACCCTTTTCCCAGCTCAGCCAAAATGTACTCATGTCAAAAACATACATGATTTCTCCATGGATATGTCACACATACCCATATATTTGAGTCAAAGTCTAATAAGATCACATATTATGATAGATATAGCAATTATAATATATACTGCTAGCCAGAGAAATAGAACAAACTTGTTTTACGCTATCGGTTTTCTAATTCGAAACCCACATCTGTAATTTGTACATTTGATATGGTTATACCTTTTTGTTTTCTAATAATAATGGAATTAAATAGTTAAGAAAATTCATGCCCTTTTGGAGGTGCTAATTTTCATATTTTTTATGAAGCCTATTTCCTGGGTGCAATAAGAAAGTCTGCATCTTCACACTCTGCTACTTTTACAAGTTACTTTAAAAATGCATCATGCCTATATTTGCTTTCACAGAGAAGAGCAGTCTCTCTGGATGTCTTACTGCTCAGAAGACAGAATGCAGTTTATTTTTATATTTACTAAATAAGGTGAAAGAAAAAAAAATTTTCTCTGCAATGTGATCTAGTTATACTTTGACTGTTCAGTTTAATTTGCTTTGCCATATTACTTTACAGAGAAGTTCACTCACCAGAAGTCTGAAATCCTGCACCAAAGAAAAGAGTAATTAGGCACACTGTATTAAAACTGAGTTCATTCTCACATCATTCATTTGGACTAGATATAAGTATTGTGCCAGATACAAGGGACACAAAGATGAATAAGAAAGATAACTTTTCCCAAGAAGCAAACCTACTCTGGGGAGAGACGAAAATAGATAAATTTGACACGATGTTAAGAGACATGAAACAAAAATATGTACAAGAAGCTATGGGAAACTCAGCCAGGAGTTCCAAAGTCCTTGGTGGAAGGAGAAGACCATGGAGGACATCAGAGGAGTCTTAGCTGTCCTCAGCACGATGTTTAGAAACAGAGAGGTCAATATAAGAAACAGAATTGCTGTAGTGACTGCTCTTGGGGCCTGCGATTTGGGAAAGAGATATAGTCATTTTTTTTTTTTAATTATAAATTGCTTTGTATTATTTGCTATTTTAAAAACTGTGGACCAAATTACCTTTATAGGAAATGAAAATCCTAAAATCTATCACTAGATAGCTGAGGTAACTAGATCCTCCCACTAAAACAGTGGCAGGATCCTATAAAGCAAACCTTTCAATTTGAAGCTTACCTTCATACCGGATCCTAGATAGAGAAAATGCAGATTACAGGAAGTGAGCTGGCAAACCTGTGACTTAGCAATATGGGCACTGTACAAAGTCAGTTAAATGCCCAGAGGAACTTAGTTGCTCTGGCCAGTAATGGGGAATATGGAAGGTCTCTCCTTTCAGCATCACAGAGATTGTTAACAGTGTTAGTTGAGTGCTAACCCAGGAATCCTTCTGGAGTGCTATGTAGAAGGAAAACACAGACTCAAGTGTTAAGAAATTTTCATAAGCTTTTGCAGTGGAGACAAATATAATAACATAGGTAAAATGACATAAGCTGACATTAAACAGTGTATAAAAAAGTGATATAAAAGTGAACAGCTACTTCCCCATAACTGACCAAGGATGCTTTGTGGAAGAGGTAACATTTGAACAGGTGATGAGATGAGACGAAATTTGATGGGAAGATGATGGGGTTCTGGCTTTTCTCAACTAAGGGAAAATACTTGCGCAAGATAAGGAAAAGCTGAAGAAAGATGAGTCTAAGAAGCAGAATGAGAACATAAGGCTTATAATGAGATTCTTTTGAATCTGCTGGCACCTCGATCTTGAACTTCCCACACTCTGGAACTGTGTGTGAGGAATACATTTTTGTTGTTTATAGAAGGAAAAGAAACAGAGAGAGATTCTTTGAGAGATGAGGCTACTACAAGAGCTTAGAGCCTCCAATGCCATGATCAATAATCTGGATTTTATTTTGCAGGTGGGACGGAGCCACCATGGTTTTTGAAGGAGAGAAGTAGCCTGACCATTTTATGTCTTAAGAGGGAAAATCTGGTGGCAGTGATTATAGACAACAGAATGAAGTTGATGGTCCAGGAAGAGAGCTAGTAAATTAATGAAAAGGGAAAGAGGAGTTTCTTACAGAGGATAGTGACAGAGATGGAAAAGTGAGAAGAAATTCTGCAGGGACAGTATTGGCTGGATTTACCTGCCTGAATGCAGGGGCAAGGTCTGTGCTATCACGAAGGTGGTGGAATTGAGAGAGGGAACAGAGGAAGAGCAAGCTGGACAAGTCCCATTCTGACATACAGCATGGCCAGTGGAAAGCTGAGTAGGTACTTTGTCCATGTGTCTGCTGCCTAAAGAAAGTCGGGATTAGAGCTGGATATTTAGGAAGCATCAGCAAGGACATGAGCACTGAAGTCATGGGAGATAGGAGATTAACAGGAAGTAGGTGTAGGGAAAAAAGGGTAAGTAAAGGGCAGGACTGTGAAGAAGAATCTCCATGTTTGGAAGAGCTGAAGAGCAGAGGAGTAGCAACAAAGTAGTGAGAATGAGAAGAAGCCGGTATATCTGACAAGAACAACATCACTGAGGACTGTTAACAACAAAGTGTCAGTGACAGGCGCCTGACTGGATCAGTCCATAGAGTATGCAACTCTTGACCTCGAGGTTGTAAGTTCAAGCCCCACGTTGGGTGCACAGTTTATTTAAAAATAAAAATCTTAAAAAAAAAAAAGAAAGAAACAGTGTCAGTTAAATGGAGGGATAACAGTCAGATTGCCAGAGCAAAAAAATATCAGGCAAAGAGGCAACCTTTGAGAAGGGAGATGGTGAGGGGAACAAGGATGGAAATTATTTTCATGCTAAGGAGAAAGGCAACACAGGAATAAAAATAGAAGGGGTGGAGGGGGTGGGGGGAAGATGAGACAGTTGATTACCAAAGAACCCAAAGAAAAGGGAAGCAACTGATATCAAGGTGCTCACATTATGGACTGAATTATTTTGCTCTGAGAAAAGACATGTTGAAGTCTTAGTCCTGAGGTCCTTGGAACGTGCCATTTGGAAATATGGTACTGGCACTTATAATTAGGTAGGTTAAGATGAGCTCATACTGGAGTAGGGTGGGCCCCTAAGCCAATGTGACTAGTCCTTATAAAAACACAGCCATGTGACCATGGAGAAACAGGGAGAGCAGCATATGAAGAGGGATGGTTTCAGTGTGGCACCTGCAAGCCAAGGAACGCCAAAGACTGCAGGCAAACCACCGGAAGCTAGAAGGGGTGGGGGTAGTTCCTTCACACCTCTCAGAGGGCGCATGGTCCTGCCCACACCTTGATTTCACACTTCCAGCTTCCAGAACTGTCAGACAAGAAGTTCCTGTCGTTTTGAACCATCAGTTTGTGGCACTTTGTTACAATGGTCCTAGGAAACCAATATAGTTGGTTCCAGAATGCAAGAAGGGAACGTTCTTCAGAGAGCAAAGGGGAAAAAGAGAGGCTAAGTAAAAATGCCATCCTGTCTTCCTAGGCTGCATCCAGAAGACGGCTCATTACTGGCTTGACCCTTGTGGTAAGGGGGGAATAAGTGAAGGTAAGCTCTAATCAGGCTGCCGACTGAAGTTTAGGCCCGACTTTGTATTCCTGAGCCAAAACTGGAACAGACCTTAAGAAGACATTTAGAGCGAAGATAATAGAGCAGGTGGACGGTAGGGTTTCTCTGGATCACTGAGACTGAAACGGAAGGCAAAGAACAAATGGCTGCATGTCTTCTTTTACCATAATAAATAAATGCCATATTTATGAGAAAAGAGCATCACATGAGTTCATTTTCTTTTAACTCTTGGCAATCCAAGTACCAAAGAAATTTAAAACAATTTTTCCTCAAAAGAAAACGTAAAGATAGAGAACACTTCAAAAACTCAAGATATGGAAGCCTTACCATGGGCCCTGCCCAGTAACAGCTCAGGTGCAAGGTAGTCTGGGGTTCCAAGAATTCGTCCATCATCCACTGGGGCTGCCCCTCGCCTCACACTCTTTGGAGTTCGGTATGGAGTTCCTGATTTGATCTGATTTGGGGTATGCTAATTTAAAAAGAGTTTAATAGACAATAAATATCTCCATTCCTTTTACAGCGAACAGAATTGCTAAAACAAAAGCAAAGCTAGGCTGTTGGGCATAAGAGATATACTCAAATTCTTGATCAGTTTTGAACAGTCCTGAAAGCTGGTGAAATTCAATAGTTTAGATAACACCAATTATTTCAGTAAGATCAGGATATGCAAGACAGAATGAAAAAATCCACAAGAAAAAAAATTTATTTTTATTTTTTTTCTTAACGTTTATTTATTTTTGAGACAGAGAGAGACAGAGCATGAATGGGGGAGGGTCAGAGAGAGGGAGACACAGAATCCGAAACAGGCTCCAGGATCTGAGCTGTCAGCACAGAGCCCGATGCGGGGCTTGAACTTACGAGCCATGAGATCATGACCTGAGCTGAAGTCGGATGCCCAAATGACTGAGCCACCCAGGGGCCACAAGAAAAATTTCTTGATAGCATGGATTAATACAAACTTAAGAACAGTCACTGAGGGACAGTGCAACAAATAGGTCATGATCTCATGGTTTGTGGGTTTGAGCCCCGTGTCGGGTTCTGTGCTGACAGCTTGGAGGCTGACAGCCTACTTCTGGTTCTGTGAGTCGTCTTCTCTCTCTGCCCCTCCCCTGCTCACACACTCTCTCTCTGTCTCAAAAATAAATAAAAAATTAAAAAAGAAAAAAAGATATTGTTATCTCACAAGGACTCTGTGAGACCAGTGGAACAGGTTATCAGCATATTCTACAGGCAGATAAACACGCTCTAAGGGAAAGGGATTGCTAAGTCACTAAGCTCTGAATAGGCAACCTGAGTCTTGTGACCCTAATTCAGGGTTTGCACTTTCTATTTTATGATCTCTCTCCAAAGGAAGAAAAAAAAATGAAACTTTGGGTTTAAAAGTTTAGAAAACACAAACAACGTAAGATTGGTAATATATATTTTCAACTTGTTTCTAAAAAGAAAAGAGATCGTCTATGAAGATCCTTAGAAGGCAGCAAGGTAGAGTGGACTCTATATTGTACCTCAGAGTTGCTGTCATCAGGTGAAAATATGTGACTGTAAATATGTAAACATGTGATTGGAAATATGTGAAAGTCTAGAGAGCAGATGGAGGAGCTGTATTTAAGAATAATAAAATTACTACCAGCTTTACCTTTATGCATCAAAACCTCCAACAATCAATCCATAGATTCCCAATAAGCAGAACAGAATTCTATGGTAAATCTCATACAATCCAGGTGAGAGGCAAGTATCTGGCTTTAATAGTTTGTTATAAAGTCTAAACACAAAGTGTTAAAAAGTTATAACATACCTGATATGGCATATAGGATGAACACAAAGTGTTAAAAAGTTATAACATACCTGATATGGCATATAGGATGTTCCTTTTTGAGTAGGGGTTATAGCCATGGGATATGAATCACTATAAACACAGGAAATATCCATTGCGTCTAAAGAGGTAATGCTCATTTTGGATGGTTCTGAGTTACTGGATGCATTAATAGGACTGTTAAAACTTCGAAAAGCTACAGCATTTCTTTTAGATACGGTTAATGTTTTCAACACTTCCGAAGATGGAGCTAATATTTTTTGGCTACTGCCTTGGACAGCAGGATTCTCATCACTTTTTGCCAAGGTACTTTCTTGCCAGCTGGGTGATACCGTAAGTAGAACTTCAATGTTTGATTCTTCAAAAGAGGATTCTTTGATGCTTTTATCTGGATCTAAGGACTGCCTTTCTAAAGAACTTTCCATTATAGAAATTCCTGGAAAAGATGAATCGGAGTCCATACAAATACTTTTAGAAGCTCTCTCATCATCAGAACATAGAAAACTAGAATTTAAGTGCTCCTTCTTACTATTCTTGTCACAATCTTCATCTAGTTCACACATAAGGTTTTTTGCTATCATTGGGATAGGTGATTTTTCTGGTGTTTGTTGTTTATCAATGAAAGAATTGACCAGGTTCTCCTTATTAGCACAGTCATTTTGCTGACCTCTACATACTGATAGCTTAAGGTCTTGGACTTCAGTTGTTAAGCCTGTCCTTTGATTTATACAACCATCACTCATTTCATTACTCCCCTTAAGCTCTATACAATTTTTTTTATTCTGTATAATATTCTGACAAGGACTAGAGTCAACTAACTCAAAATTTCTTTTAAAACCTCTCTTCCCAAGGTGCTCTTCAGTCATATCACCAGAATCCACAGCCCATGGATCTGACGGATGAAAAGCAGGCTGTGTTTTGTCAGTGGCCATGTTAATGTTATTTATATCCAGTTCTCTTGCTTCCCAAGAAACTTCCCCAGGGAAGCATTTTTTAGCAGGGTTTACACAAGAGTTTCCAGTCGCAGGGATGGTACCACTGTTATGAATGGGAGAAAGGGCTAACTCAAGATCCTTTTTATTGAAACCTTTGGTCTCGATGGCATTGGTAGATTTTGTACACAAAGGCTTTTCTATTATATTCCAACTCATCATTGTAGAGCCCAGTGCATCATCACTTTCCTGAGAGGGAGGAAAAAACACCGTTTTAGTTGTATAAAACTGAGATTCTTGAACCTTTCAAACCTGTTGACTTAGGTGGAATAAATGACCCCATAAACTATTATGCTACCTATTCCCACTTTCCAATGGAACCAAAAAACAATGATAAAAGAAAATTAGAAAACAATATAAACAATTATAGCATGTATTTATATATATTTTGAGTAAAACACTAGTCTAAAATTCAAATTAACTACAGTGTGTATTATAATTTAATATGTATTTGTATATTATTTTGGTCTTCTGTAACACATATTTGATACAAATTATTTAAGTAGGACAAATTAATAGGCAACATTTTCAGGCAAAATTAAGGGAAATTTGAGGCAAAACTGAGGGTAAGATTACATTATGTATATATCTGCTTGGCAACAGCGGTATAGATGATTCTGTTTTGAATTATAAAATGCACAGGACTTAAGACATAGTTAATGGAAAATCATAGGCAAAGATTTTGTTAATGTAAACAAGTATAATAAAACCAAGCTGACAAAGATGAAGCTAAACTAATAATTTCTAATTAAAACCCCAAAATAACAGGAATTAGAATTCACTGTCAACAAGATGAAATGATCTTGCATTAATAACAAAATACTTTTCGTAAAATCTGTTTGAATTCCAACTATCTGCAAGTGCTCTTGTATGATCAGAGCTTTGTACAAAATATTATAAACTGGTACATGGTATTCAGGAGTTTTACAAGATTACTCAATTACAGTGTATCTTTAGTAAAAAGTACTGCCTGCTTTTGGTATGTGAAAATCAAACTTTATTAACTTACTTAGTAATAATGAGTGCATGATCATGAACAAAAATAACAAAAATCCCTAAATTACAACTCATAGATCTGCAAGATCATCCAAAGATTAGCACAGGGTTTATCAGGATTCCCTTGTGGTCCATGGTCACTCTTCTGTTTATAACTTTTTTATAACTTTTTTTTTTTTTTTGAGAGATCGATCAAGGCGGGTAGGGGCAGAGTAAGAAGCAGAAAGGGAATCCCAAGCATGCTCCATGCCCAGTGCAGAGCCTGATGCAGGAATAGATCTCATGACTGGTGAGATCACAACCTAAGCCAAAATCAAGAGTCAGATGCTTAACCAACTGAGCCACTCAGATACCCCTCTCTGTTCATAACTTGAGAAAGACTGCTATAATCTAATCACTGCATTCCCCAAGTATGCAGAAGTGGGAGGAAGAAGGTAAACCTGTGTATAGTTTGAAATATTATACAATATACTTTCTTGAATAGGAAGAGGTGAATTAACAGTATTAGGAATGGAAATCTGTTTATCCTGTAGCACATATTACCTATAGAGCAGCCTATAAGAGGAGATTGAGAAAAATAATTTGACCTTACTTCTAGAATACAAATATCCAATAATGAAGAAAACTGTATTACTGAGAATAAGGGACAAATACAATCTAAATTATTTACTCAAATTGAAGGTTTATTCTTTGTTTATTATCATTATTCTAATCTAACATTATTTCATCTGTACTCTATGAAGGATACTTTATTATAATTTAAAACTTTAGGATCTCTCAGCTTTAATACTTATTGGCTTTAATGGCTTAAAAAAGGCAAGAACAGAAATATATACATGAAGTAAAATAATTTTAAGTGACTCCATTCACTTAGCAAGCAATTTCCTTAGAATAAAAACTTTTTTTTTTTTTTTTGAGATAGAGAGAGAGAGAGAGCACGAGCAGGGGAGAGGGGCAGAGGGAGAGAGAGAATTCTAAGCAGGTTCCACGCTCAGTATGGAGCTAGATATGGGGCTTGATCCCACGACCCAGGGATCATGATCTGAGCTGAAATCAAGAGTGAGATGCTCAGCAGACTGAGCCAACCAGGTGCCCCTAAAATAAATACTCTTTTTTTTTTCAATATATGAAATTTATTGTCAAGTTGGTTTCCACACAACACCCAGTGCTCATCCCAAAAGATGCCCTCCTCAATACCCAAATAAATACTCTTAAAGGCACACCTGCATTACCTTTGTGGTCTAAAAGTTATTTCTGATCCAGAAGAGTTACCATTCCACTAAATGAGAAACTGGCAGAAAACAGTGTAGAAGGAAGTAATATAAGTTTTAGAATACGACTTAAAAAAAAAAAGTGCAACAAGCTAGTCATGGTAGGGAATTAAAAAAGAAAAAGAAGCCCATCTAGATGCCTATGAGCCAAACATTTACTATCAATTGTCTACAAACTTGTTATATATTATTAATCATGAATAATTCCATACTTGAATGAGAAGTGAAATATTTAAAAATAATTTGACAGAATATACAGGAAAATGAAGACTACTTTGACTGCTGTTCATGTAACAGTTTCATTTCCTTACAGAATTTACATGAAAACGTGTAAGGCGTCTCTATCATCAATGGGACGTACAAAACTGGCTTGGGTTCAGATAAATGGCACTCTCACCTGGCAATCTTTTTCCCATGTGGGACTGCTGTGGCACTCAGACTCCACACTGGACGCAAAGGTGTGAGACTGGCTGCTGGCACTTGACGTAGCCAGCCTTCTCCTGGATTGCAGGAGATTGGAAGTTAGGCACTTCACAGGCATCCCAGGATTGGCAGCAACTGTTTCAAGACCTATAGGGAAGAGAAAATATTGAATCTTATGTCACAGCTTTCTGAGTTCCTCACTGAACTTGAAACTTTGCAGAAAATTAGGCAGAGTATTAAGTACGGCACACCAGAACTCTTTTTGTATAAACATTATCCAAACCACAAGGATGGCTCAGGTGTTTTTGGCACACAAGTACCAATCAATGTTTAGGGGGAAAAAAACCCCTCAATATTCACAAGTGAAAATCAGGACAAAAGAATTCAGTTGTAATTAGGAGGAAATCCATTTTGAATATTCATTATCCAATTTGAAACTCTTCTTGATAAAGGAGCATTACTGATGTTCTATATCCAGGTATGATTTAAGATTGGAATGTGACTAAATTTACTCAGTTCAATTTGTATTTAATTAAATGAGGTTTATGTGCGTACAAGTATGAATTACACACATCCATAAGGGATTTTCTTTTAATACTACTGGGTACAACAAGTAACAGTGAACTAGCTGACAGCAAACCAGTACAAGAAAGCAGCATCCTCTACATGACACGTGCTCCTTATTTATATAACGATGCTAAATTTGTGGTTCCTTAATTTATAATGAGACATGATAAGCAATTATGCTTTTATTATATGTGCATACACAGATTTTCTGTGTATATAAAAAGATATATATTATATATACATGTGTACATACACACACACACACACACACACACACACACACACACACACACACACACACACACACACACCTTTTCTCTTTCCCAAAGAGGGTGAACATGACAAGTAAATTCTTACAGTTTTTTTGATTTAACAAATCTTGGCACCTTAAAACTAGAAGTTGAATTTCAATGTCCATTTAAAACAACGGTATTTTTGGTACATAAACCCTCTCAATGAAACTCCTGAAACTCCTTGGATCCTGACCTTGATATCTGACTAAACTGCTCAGCTGCCTTTCCTCAGTAATGTGGGAATTTGTGTCTACCCCAATGCCAAGTGCATACTGTGTATTTGCTAATGAGTTCTTTCTGGATCACTGATATGATCAGACCATTCCTTTCTTTGGAACTCTTGATGACTCCCTGTTTCTACAGCTTAAATGATCCTTCCCATCTATCTGCTAAGTTTCCTTTCCCATTGCACGTGCTTCTGCATTCTCACATAGCGCATTTAGTCCCCATTATCTGAAGATGGAATACTTCCAAGTGTCCGTGACTTTGCTCATGCCTCTATCTGAAATGCCCTTTTCCAATATACTTGGAGCTATTGCTATATCTTTATTGAAAACCCATTCCTGATTTTTCCGGTTAGCACTTAACACTTTGTGTGTTGCATCACAGTATCCTTCTTATGGATTTTATTTTATAGGATTGCTATTGTTATCCCTTTGTATCTATAATCAACCAAACTTACAAGTTCTTTTGAGGCAAGGAATTCTTTTACTCATCTTGATATCCACTCAGTGACCAGCACGGTGCCTTGCCCTGATCTAGTTCTGACTACAGTAAGAAACGACTAAGGGAGAAGCAATTATTTTCACTTCAAAATAAGGCTATAGTAACATTGGCATATTCTGTATTTTAGTAGTTTTGCGTTTATCAAAGCTATAAATATATATTTTCAGCCATTTTGATTTCCACAGAAGTGATTTTGACAGAAGAAACAAGATCCCATGAATTTGGAAGAAAGGGTCAGTGGACAGAGAATTGTATTTGCAATCAGGACTTACTTGGCTAACCCACTTACTAGTGTGTAATTAAACATTTTCAAACATTAGCTTTCTCATTTGTAAGTGAGATATCCTAGATATGTAAAGATTTGAGGACCAAATTCAAAATGAGGCAACATCCATGAAAACATGTATTCCCAAGATGAAGAACATGAGTGCAGAGAACTAAAACATCCAGTGTTGCTAAGTTATAGAAGGTAAAGTTAAGTGCAATAAAATGCCCCATTCTCTTCCTCTACTACTTTTGTTTTTTATTGTGTGCTAATGAAAAAATTTATCTTTGCTTCAACTATTTTATTTCAAAATCTTTTGAAAATCATTTTATAAAGACACACAATATTACAGGTACTACATCTTGTTTATATAAGATTTCCAATGACCCAGTACAGTGAAATTTACCTGATAATCATTCTAATACTATGCTAATTGATGAATATCTCATTAGCTAGATAATTTATCCTGTTGACTTAAAGATCTGCAATAGGGGCGCCTGGCTGGCTCAGTCAGTAGAGCATGTGACTCTTGATCTCAGTGTTAAGTTCCAGCCCTATGTTGGGTGTAGAGATTACTTAAAATCTTCTTTAAAAAAAAAAAAAAAAAAAAAAAAAATATATATATATATATATATATAAAAATATATATATATGTATATATATATGACAATCTGTGTCAGAAATGGCATTAACATGAGGAAATATAGGAATGCCCCAGCCTGTTCAAGAATTTGCATTTCAAACTCATATTGGAAATTAAAAAATTTAAAAACATGTTGTTCCTCAAAAGACACACTTAATGGAATAAACTACCTTTTCTTTTATACTCACATGAGTTTAGTAGTTTGCTACAATAAGGAGTAGTATCCTTGTGATCTACAGACATAGGACAAATTAGTCCTTGAGAAAGCTGTGATGTTTCAGATACATGGGTTGAAAGAATATTTGCAGAGTCTTTGTTGTTTTCTGCAACTGGTGTGTACTATTAAAGAGAGAAAAACAAAAACAAATGCTAAGATTTGTCTCCACAAAAACACCACCTAAATACATAGACTGTTATACCACTTAAGTAGATAATGTGAAAGTAACTCAATATGCTTGATATTTAAATTTATTTTGATCAGGGGCACCTGGGTGGCTCAGTTGGTACAGCATCTTACTTCGGCTCAGGTCATGATCTCATAGCGCATGAGTTCCAGCCCCACGTCTGTCTGTGTGCCAACAGCTCAGGGCCTGGAGCCTGCTTCGGATTCTGTGTCTCCCTCTCTGCCCCTCCCCTACTCATGCTCTGTCTCCCTCTCTCTCAGAAATCAATAATAAACATTAAAAAAATAAAAGAAATAAATTTATTTTGATCATTTATTAAAAAAAAAAAGATTTAAAACTTTAAATGGGCATGTTATGTGAGTTTTTTCTAATTAAGTACTTACAAATCCCAAAGAGCTGATGAGAGATAACACCTGTCCTGGGGTTCTTGAATAATCTTGTCTAGGTTTAGCCATTGATGGTGTTGTAAGGATATCCATCATATTGATATCTATGTATGGAAAAAAAAGTATATGAAATTCTTTAAAAACTTCAATGTCACTGACTTACTAGTCAATAATCATCTCTTCTGAACTTTGTTGCCCATTCCACATTAACGTTATCTATAAAATTAGCTTGAGTAAGATGAACATATCCAGTGAAGCCACCATCCTGTAAACATATACAACCAAGCAGACAGAGAAAGACTAATACTGTATGATCTCTCTTATATATGGAATCTTAAGAAAACAAAACAAAACCAAGCTCACAGATACAGAGAACAGATTGGTGGATGCCACAGGCAGGGGCAGGGGGTAGAAGAAATGGATGAAGGGGGTCAAATACAAAATTTTAAGAGATAAATATTTATTAAAAAAAAAAAAAAGTGGGGCACCTGGGTGGCTCAGTTGGTTAAGCAACTGACTTTTGATTTCAGCTCAGGTCATGATCTCACTATTTTTGAGATCGAGCCCTATGGTCAGGCTCCATGACACTGCAGAGCCTGGTTGGGATTCTCTCTCCTTCTCTCTGCCCCTCTCCCCACTCACTTTCTTTCTCTCAAAAATATAACACTAAAAAAAAAAAAAAAAAAAAAAAAAAGCAAGTGCTTGAAATCATTACAATTTGATAGAACAGAGTCTTGTGCTGAAATGAATAGAACACCCAAATTAGGAGTCACCGAGGTGCCTGGGTGGCTCAGTCAGTTAAACATCCTACTTTGGCTCAGGTCTTGATCTCACAGCTTAGGGTGAGTTCGAGCCCTGCATTGGGCTCTCTGCTGTCAGCACAGAGCCTGCTTCAGATCCTCTGTCCCCCTCACTCTCTGCCCCTCCCTTCATTCTCATTCTCTCTCTCAAAAACAAACATAAAAAAAAAGGAGTACTCAGTCACTAAACAAGAGTATTATCTAACTGGCAACAGGCACTCTTCTATGAGACTTTTTTCTTTCTTTTGAGAGAGAGAGAGAGAGAGAGAGAGAGAGAGAGAGAGAGAGAGAGAGAATCTCAAGCAGTCTCCATGCTTAGCACGGAGTCCGATGCGGGGGTTGATCCATGATGCTGGTATCATGACATGAGTTGAAATCAAGAGTCAGATGCCCAGCTGACTGAACCACCCAGGCGCCCCTGTGATATCAGACTTTTAAAGGTAAACTGAAAGTTTGAACCTAAAAAATTTTATTGATTCTACACACTGATGAAGCAAGAAGGACTAACAGGTAACAACAAACATCTTGAAGAATATTTTATAAATTAAATGTTAAAAATGTTATGGCAGTGATTTATTGGATATAACTCCAAAAGCACAGGCAAAAAGGAAAAATAGACAAATGGGGCTATATCAAACTAAAGCACTTTCGCACATCAAAGGAAATAGTCAAAAGAATGAAAAGAACCTACAGAATGGGAGAAAACATCTTCAAACCAGTTATCTGATAAGGGGTTAATGTACAGAATATATAAAGAACTATAAGTCAACAACAATAAAAAATTCAATACTTATCTAATTAAAAAGTGGATAAAGAACTTGGACAGACATTTCTCCAAAGAAGATATACAAATTGCCAACATGATTATGAAAAGAGGCTCAACATTAGTAATCAATGGAAAATGCAAATCAAAACTATAATGAAATATCACCTCATACCCATTAGGATGGTTAGTATCAAAAACAGAAAATAAGTAGTGTTGGCAAAGATGTGGAGAAACTGGAACCCTCGTACATTGCTGGTAGGTATGATAAATAGTGCAGCCACTATGAAAAACAAATGGAGTTGCCACAAAAAATTAAAAATAGAGTTACTATGTGACACAGGAATTCCACTACTAGGTAAGTACACAAAAGAATTGAGAGCAGGGGATCTACAATATTTACATCCTCATGTCCATTGCATTATTCACAATAGCCAGGAGGTAGAAGCAACCTAAATGTCTACTGACACATGAATGGATTTAAAAAAATAGCATATATATGTATAATGGAATGTTATTCAGTCTTTAAAAAGAAGGAAATTCTGCTACATGCTGCAACAAGTATGAACCTTGAGGACATTATGCTAAGTGATATGGCAGTCACCAAATGACAAATACTCTGTGATTCTACTTATATGAGGCATCTAAAGTAATCAAACTCACAGATACAGAAAATAGAATTGTGGTTGCCAGGGCTGAGGGGACAGGAAAATGGGGTATAATGCTTCAGTTTTGTAAGATAAAAAATTTCTAGAGATCTGGTGCAGAGCAATGTGAACATGGTTAACACTACCCAACTGTACACTTCAAAATGGTTTTATATTATGTTTTTTACCACTATCAAAACAAAAAAACAAAAAAAACAAAAAACCACCACCAACAACAACCAAATTCAGAATCTGTATACTTAAAAGATGTTTGTTGTATTACTATTTATGCTAATACAAATGTAGGATTACTTGGGATCCATTTTATTTTACTTTATTTTATCTTTATACTTTTTATTTTTTATGTAAGCTCTACACTCAATGTGGGGATTGAACTCATGACACTGAGATCAAGAGTTCAATGCTTTACAAACTGAGCCAGCCAGGTGCCCTATGGGAGCCAAATTTTAAATAAATCATGAGATATGAAAAAAATAAAAAATATTAAATGGCTATAGTACTTAACACAACATTTTTATAATTTGTGACTTTTCTCAATATCTTATCTGAAACCCAGGGAACTAGATTTGCCTCACAATTAAAAAATGTTTAGATTTTAGGTAATGTGATAGGGGTGCCTGGGTGGCTCTATCAGTTGAGTCTCTGACTCTTGGTTTTAGCTCAGGTCATGATCCCAGGGTTGTGGGTTCGAGCCCCACATTGGGCTCTGTGCTGAGTGTGGAGCCTGCTTAAGATCCCCCTTAAGATTCTTGCTGTCTCTCTCTCTCAAAAAATAAGAAAAAAAAAAAAAAAAGGAAGAAGAAAATGAAAAGAAAAAAAAAAAAAAGAAAGGTAATGCGATAAATTACAGTGGTTTTTTTGCTTTTTTTAAATTGAAGTATATGACACACAATGTTACATTAGTTTCAGGTGTACAACATAGTGATTCAACAACTCTACACATTATGATATACTCACCATAAGTGTAGCTATCATCTGTCACCACACAGTGCTATTATGATACCACTGACTATATTCCTTATGCTATACTTTCCATCCCCATGACTTATTCATTCCATAACTGGAAACATGTACCTTCTATCTCTCTTTCACCCATTTTGCCCTTTTGCCCCCCCCACCAAGAAACCATCAGTTTGTTCTCTGTATTAATGGGTCTGACTCCACTTTTTTTGGTTTGGTTTGTTTTTTAGATTCTGTGTATAAGTGAATCTACTGGTCTTTCTGTTTGACTTATCTCACTTAGCATAACACCCTCTAGTTTCATCCATGTTGTCACAAAAGGTAAGACCTCATTCTTTTTTATGGCTAAGTTAATACTCCATTGTGTGTGTGTCTGTGTGTGTGTGAGTGTGTGTGTGCACACGCCACATCTTCTTTATCCATTCATCTTTCGATGTACACGTGGGTTGCTTCCGTATCTTGGCTATTGTAAATACTGCTGAAATCAACATAAGGATGCACATTATCTTTTCAAATTAGTATTTTTGTTTCTTTGGGTAAATATCCAGTATACTGTATAGTTAGGAACATCCTTAGTGGCATTTCATCTAGCAGCCTGGTACTCAAATATTATTATTACTGTTATAAAGAGTATGAGTAGTTATGTGAAATTGAATTAATAAAAACTATAAATAGCCCACATCAGTTCAGGCCAAATTTTATTATCAGCTGAAAAACCATTAGGTATTCAAAACTTTTTGAAATTTTACTCCTAGATAAAGAATTATAGATCTATATTTAATTTCAATGTTTATTTATTTTTGGGACAGAGAGAGACAGAGCATGAACGGGGGAGGGGCAGAGAGAGAGGGAAACACAGAATCGGAAACAGGCTCCAGGCTCTGAGCCATCAGCCCAGAGCCTGACGCGGGGCTCGAACTCACGGACCGCGAGATCATGATCTGGCTGAAGTCGGACGCCTAACCGACTGCGCCACCCAGGCGCCCCTATCTGCTACCAATTTAATAGATGATACAATATGCTACAAAGTCAATAAACTCTCAAGTATCCATACCTTTTTAAAGACTTTTTAATTAATTAATTAATTAATTAATTTTTTGATTTACATCCAAGTTAGTTAACATATAGTGCAACAATGATTTCAGGAGTAGATCCCTTAATGCCCCTTACCCATTTAGCCCATCTCCCCACCCACAACCCCTTGCAGCAACTCTGTTTGTTATCTATATAAAAAGAGTCTTTTATGTTTTGTCCCCCTTCCTGTTTTTATATTATTTTTGCTTCCCTTCTCTTATGTTCATCTAACACTTTTTCTAGTTTCTCTCTTTTAGAAACAATGCTGCTACAAAGTTATGTTCATATTATTTTGTTCTCTAGAACCATTTCCTCAGAATAAATTCCAAGACGGGGCACCTGGGTAGCTGAGCATCCAACTCTTAATTCTGGCTCAGGTAATGATCTCAGAGTTGTGAGGTTGAGCCCTGCATTGGGCTCTGCGCTGACTGCGTGGAGCCTGCTTGGGATTCTCTGTCTCCCTCTTTCTCTGCCCCTCTCCTGCACACGTGTACTCTCTCAAAATAAATAAACATTAAAAAAAAAAAAAAGAATAAATTCTAAGACATAATCAGTCACTAGGTCAGAAAGAATGAAAACTTGTTTCTTAAAACACATTGTTAGACATACGTTGGAAAGCACTGTGCTAATTACAATGTGTAACTGTGCTTTTACAGTCTCATTAATTCTGGATCTTCAGTTCACTCTCACTCTCTCTCTCTCTCTTTTTTTTTTTTTGCCTAGCTTAATAGTGTGAAATGATTCATTTGTTATTTTTTAAGTTAGCATTTCTTTCATTACTAGTAGTGAAATTAACATACTCCCATAAAAATGTGTGTGTTTGTGTGTGTGAATCTTGTGTGTAGTTTCTTTGCCCCTAGTTTATCAAGGCGGTCCTGTCCGTGTAAGTTCTGTAGGTATTACTTCATTCTAATCACTCAACTGATGTTTAATTGGTCAAACTAGTTTCAGTAGAGACAAAAAGTCAGAAGAACAGAAATGGTGAGTTCTTCTTTGAAGATCCAAAGATCTTTGAGGGCCCTTAAGGATTTAGGAATAATTATTACCATTTTTCATCTTTAATTGAAAGGAAATACCAATATACCTTTCTAGTCTTTTTTGAAACAAATAATAATCAAATTTTAGTCATTATAAGCTAACAAAACAGTGTAAGTTAATAACATGTAGTGCGCAAGATTTGTTCGATTTTTAAAAAGGTACTTACCTCCTATTTTTCTTACCTCTATTCAAAGTAACTTTGGAAAGGCCAAAATCTGTTAGCTTAATATGACCTTCATTAGAAATAAGCATATTGTCTGGTTTCAAATCTCTGCATATACAAAAGACAAGTATCAGATAACTAAAAAAGAGCTAGTGTTGATGTTAGAATTAGCAGGGGAAAAAGCCAGAAAGTTACAGAGAAGATTCAAACCCTCTATATTTTCTCTAAAATAAGACACTTATTGCTGGCTTTGAAAATGTGGGAAACAACTCTCAAAAGTAAATGATCTTTTGTATATTTGAACCTATGAGAAAGTTAACTGATGTAATGCTTTATTAGCTTTGGCATTATTCATTAGATTTTTCCATTAAAATAAATAAACTTCATTAGATAAAATAAACTTCAGGCCAAGTCAAAATCATATTTACCTCTCTCAAGGAGGGTAAGATTAAGCCTTAATAGAGGAGAGCCACTTAGAACATGACATTTTAGAACATGACTGTGCACAGAGCAAAACACTGTAAGTCAGCTTGAATTATAAAATATAGCACTTTTGTGTGACAATAAAGGAGTAGAAAAAAGATTCAATATTCTTCACAGCAAAATGGCATACTGATGCTCAAAGCAACATATTAAAAAAAACAAAGGGAGGGGAGATGAAAGAAGAGTTGATGGAGGTTCTAAACATACACAATATGTTTACCTGGGTTATCTACCAAACTTTAGATAACTCAGATACATAGGCAAATGATTATGCAAATATTTCAGACTCAAATATTTAATACATAGTTTGATTACTTGTGCTTTTAAGTAATAGTTTGTACAACAGTCTCTACCTGTGGATGATTCCATGTCTGTGAAGATAGTCTAGAGCCAAGGCTACTTCAGAAATATATTTGACGGCCATCTCTACATCAAAATAACCATATATATGTAAGAGAGACTTGACATCTCCACCAATAAGATATTCCATTACCTATCAAAAGGAATATAAATATTATAAAATACAAACAAGATGATTAACTTTAAAAATGTTATTTGAATGTTACAGTTATATATTCTTAGCATGGTTCTATAACAGACACATTTAAAAAATTTTTTTTAACATTTTTATTCACTTTTAGAGAGACAGAGAAACACAGCATGAGCAGAAGGGGCAGAGAGAGAGAGGGAAACACAGAATCTAAAGCAGGCTCTGGGCTCTGACTTGTCAGCGCAGAGCCTGACGTGGGGATTGAACTCACGCACCAAGAGACCATGACCTGAGCTGAAGTGGGCCGCTTAACCAACTGAGCCACCCAAGAGCCCCCAGACACATTGTCTTAAAATTTATTTTGAAAGAGAGGGGGGAGGGAGAGTGCAAGCAGGGGAAAAGCAGAGAGAGGGAGAAAGAACCCCAAGCAGGCTCTGCACTGACAGAGCCTCAGCCTCAGCCCCAGTGGGGCGCTTGAACTCATGAACCATGAGATCATGACCTGAGCCGAAATCAAGAGTCAGATGCTTAACTGACTGAGCCACTCAGGCACCCCAGCACAGACACATTTTCTTGATATCACTCAGTATACATTAATACCAAGTTTGCTCATGTTGCCATATAATTTTTTTAATTTAAATTAAAATGTTTAATCTAAATAAAAATTCAGACTTATACAAAAGGTATAAGGACAGTTCCATATACTCTTTATCTAGATTTACCTATTGTGAGCATTTTGCCACATTTGCTTTCTTCCTCTCCTCATATATGAATATAAAATAAACCTTTGTTAATAATTAACAAACATGTTATTATGTTACATAATAAAATAATAGGATTATTAACATTATTGATACAAATATCTTTTTCTTTTTTTAACGTTTATTCATCTTAGAGAGACAGAGCATGAGCAGGGAAGGGGCAGAGAGAGGGAGACACAGAATCTGAAGCAGGCTCCAGGCTCTGAGCGGTCAGCACAGAGCCCAATGCGGGACTCGAACTCATTCATGAACTGTGAGATCATGACCTGAGCCTCAGATGCTCAACTGACTCAGCCACCCAGGCGCCCTGACACAAATATCATAAATGCATGTATTTCTATTCAGACTAAAGAAATTAATTTAAAAATATGGTGATGTGCCTGGGTGGCTCAGTTAAGTGTCTGACTCTTGATTTCAGCTCAGGTCATGATCTCATGGTTTGTGAATTTGAGCCCCACATCAGGTTCTGCACTGGCAGCATGGAGCCTGCTTGGGATTCTTCCTCCCTCTCTCTCTGCACCTCCACTGCTCACACTCTCTGTCTCTCAAAATAAATAAATAAAGATTAAAACTTTTTTAAAAACATGGCAACATTAACAACTGATATTTATAGCTTTAAAGCTTTTGCTAAATAATTGGAGAATACAGTTGAAGAGGTCACGACACAAAATTCTTCATCATGTATCTAACAAGGATATTCTTACATAACTACAGAATAAAATTCAAGGAGCTTAACACTACTATAATGTATTATCTAATCTACAGTCCATATTCAAATTTCTCTGAGTATCTAAATAAACATCCCAGATAGCACTTCCCCTCATCCCCTTGCCCATGCATGGGATTTAGTTGTCATGTCTCTTCAGTCTCCTTTAATCTGGGACAGTCCTGGGGCGCCTGGGTGGCTCAGTCGGTTAAGCATCCGACTTGGGCTCAGGTCCTGATCTCGCGATCCGTGAGTTCGAGCCCCGCGTCAGGCTCTGGGCTGATGGCTCAGAACCTGGAGCCTGCTTCCGATTCTGTGTCTCCCTCTCTCTCTGCCCCTCCCCCGTTCATGCTCTGTCTCCCTCTGTCCCAAAAATAAATAAACGTTAAAAAAAAAAAAATTAAATCTGGGACAGTCCTTTGCCTTTTTTGAGGGGGTTAGTCTTTCCTGACATCTGATTATTTCCTCACGATTTAATTCAGGCTATGTATTTTTGGCAGGAATACTAAATAAGTCAACTAAATAAGATGTTGACTCTTTCCTAGAGACTCTCACCAGATGGGACACCTAATGTCAGCATGTTCCATTACTGGTGATGTTGACTTTGATCACTTAGTTAAGGTGGTAACTTCCAGATTTCTCCATTGAAGAAGCACTTTTTTATCCCTTGCTCATTAATAAGTAATGGGGGAAATACTTTGAGAGTATGTAAATAACCTGTTTCCCAACAAATTTTCAAGCACTGATTTTAGCATCATGTGACTATAGCTGATTCTTGTCTGAATCCACTACTGCTATGTGGTTGCAATACTATTCCTTTCACATGCACTAGTCATTACTCTCAAAAATTTGTATCGTTTTAAGGTATAAGATACTGCCTACTAAGAACTTAATAAAACAAAGTCCTTTCTTTCCCTTTTAGGCCAGTAATTTCCCTGGTAGAGACTAGTCAATGTTTGTTGGTGATATCAATCATTAAAACATTTACTAAGCACAAAATCTGTGTTATACACTGTGCTAGCATTGGGAATATAAGCATGAATAAAATGTCTCTGCCAGTGAAAGAGTTTAAAGTAGTTTACAGTAGTAGAAAAATAATAGATCCTGTATCTGAGTTCATGAGAGTGTTTATTTTCTTACATTCTCATCGATTGTTATTGATCCTTTTTATCTTTGTCAATCTAAAAAAAAAATGGACTTGTTTAAACATTCACTTTATTTACTGTTAGGGAGATATAGGACCTTTACACAACTTTTGGTCTTTTATGTATCTTCTGTGAATCACTTCTGTGCCCATTTTTCTATTGGGTATTATTTCTTATTGATGTGTAAAACCTGTTACACAGTAGTAAAATTAGCCCTTTGTGTGCCTTTTGAACAATATTTTCTCCAAACTTGTTATTAGACTATGTAAATAGTATTTTGTATAAAAATGTTTTACTTTGTACTTAGTAAGACCTACACCAACTTATGATTATAAAAGTTTTCTTCTAGTACTTTTATGGATTCACTTTTTTAAGTAGAAATCTATGATACGAAAGGGGAACAAATGACTCTAGCGCTATGTCATGTTTCATAACTGTTCAGAAAATTATTTCAAGTAACTTCAAAAAACAGAATTTTATTTTTTATCATTATTTTTTACAACTGCAGGAAATTATAATTTTTTTATGTTTATTTTTATTTTTGAGAGACAGAGCGCCAGCAGGGGTGGGATAGAGAGAGAGGGAGACACGGAATCTGAAGCAGGCTCCAG